AGGTGATACTGTCATTTACTAAATTACATAAGGCCATAAAAGTGATAACATGTCAATGAATTTGGCATTAAATGAACTAAAGAGAAAGAACAAAATTTTATATCCCCGCACCTGGTAATGAGAAATGATACTCCAGAGTAAACCAAGAGTAAGCTTCGGATTGCCATTCACGATCTCATCGTTACGAATGTTCACCAGTTTAATCTACAGAACATATCAACAAAGAACAATAAATAAAGAGGACATCACTCTGGGATTTTATTTTTCAAGCTATGAAAGTTGAAGTATTTTGACTTTTGTTCACTTTACAAGTGCAAAGGATTGCAACAAACTTCTTGAAAGCGTTGTTTAAAAGCGTGAAACTGGCTGAAAGAATGACACTCTCTAATGGACAGTTCTTATATCTAATAAATGCCTCCCAATACTGTCATTAGTATAAATTTTGGCATTTACTAAATCATCTATGGTAGTTGAATTATTATTGAAAATGGGTACTGTAAAATTTGCCTTAAGTTAACTGTCAATTACCTTTTGTGTCTCGAGAAAATTCAAGACATGACCAACATTGTTTAAATGATGAACTCGCAACCTTCCTTTCTCGCGTTTCTGTACAAGAGAAAGTAACAACAAATTTAATAAATTGTAAATTAATTTGCACTAGTTTTCAATTCAGGTTATTTGGTAGTTTATAAATCGTTTACTGCAATGGACCTTTCACCTTTTGACTAAAATTTAGATCTCAACAAGTCTAGACAAAAATTTCATCACAGCTTGAAAGAGCATCACACAATTAGTAATATTCCAAAGTTTCGTTGCGAAATGTTGTAAAATGCGGATAATATAGCCTTGCGAAGTTTGGAATTTTCAGTCATTTTGCATTACGCGCGGGAAATACATACCCTTTTTCCGAAGGAGGTATATATTTCCCATGCGTAATACAAAATGACTGAAAAACGGCAAAATTCGCAAGGCTATATATTATCCGCATTTTACAACCGATTTCGCAAGAAAACTTTGGAAAATTACTAATTTTGTGATGCTCTTCCAAGCTGTGATGAAATTTTTGTCTAGACTTGTTGAGATCTAAATTTTAGTCAAAAGGTGAAAGGTCCCTTGATTCCAAAATATTCTGAGACCAGTACATCATTTATAAAACTTACCAATTTTTTGCCAGTAAGGATTTCCAAGAGTGTAATCAATCTGGTGCCATCTCTGAGATCTTTGAAAATATCTTTCACTTCGACATTTGCACGAGCCTAGAAATTCAATTTATACATGATCATGTGACCAGCTCACCAGAGTCCAAATAATACAGTGGGCGTGGCAAACCATTTTCGTGGACGTGTTCAAAAAACATGATGCTTGAAATTAATCGTCATACACTCATACTGACAATGTTTGTGAAATATAACAAAGCTTGTGAGTCTCTGTTTAACCCATAAAGATGCATTTATTATTTTACTTTGTCTAATACCAGATGATTTTATATGTCAAGGGGAAAGCCTAGTGCTCAATGAGTGCTCATGAATGGTCTCCTGGCTATCAGTGGCTGAATGTCTACCCTGTAGGCAAAATTGAGATTGAGAAAGTGTTCAAATCATACTATGTCAAGACTACAGCAAAATGAGTTATATGATCATACCTTACTGAACTGTGTGTTGACCCATTTCGTAAAGGTCTTCTTTTGAATTCCTTCTTGTTCACCTGAACAGATATAAAATATGGTAATTAACCATTAAGTTGCAATGTGCCCTGATGCACCCTACTTTATTATTTTACTCTGTCTAATGCCAGACAATTTTACTTGACAAGGAGAGACCACAGGCATTCAATTGTCATACAGTGTTTCACTGAGTGTCATATTCTTGCGGGCACTACTTTTTTCACAAAATCCTAGTTGTTGTATAACGTGGTCCCGAGGGTGTCCACTTACGGAAGGTTTAGCTGTATTTTCCTATAGTTATTTTCTAGTAATTCCTGGTCAGGCGTGAACATTATTTCACAATGAAATTCTCAGACATAAATTGTTTTGACTTTGCTATACACCAGACAATAATAGCCAATGTAACCATTATTGCATCCTGGGGAACAAAAATTCCTACAAGAAATTTTGGACAATTCCTATTGGATTCCTTTAGAATGCAATTCCTATAGTAATTCCTATCAGGAATTTTGGACTATATTCCTAAATTTGGATTCCTTTAGAATGCAATTTCCTATAGTAATTCCTATAAGGAATTTTGGACTATTCCTAAATTTGGATTCCTTTAGAATGCAATTTCCTATAGTAATTCCTATAAGGAATTTTGGACTATTCCTAAATTTGGATTCCTTTAGAATGCAATTTCCTATAGTAATTCCTATAAGGAATTTTGGACTATTCCTAAATTTGGATTCCTTTAGAATGCAATTTCCTATAGTAATTCCTATAAGGAATTTTGGACTATTCCTAAATTTGGATTCCTTTAGAATGCAATTTCCTATAGTAATTCCTATAAGATTTCTATTCCTATAGAAATTCCTATAGAAATTCCTATAGGAACCCAAACTTGGAAATTTGAATTCCTACAGGAATGTACTGTGCTTTATTATTTAACATTTTAACTCTGTCTAACAACAGACAATTTTACTCATCAAGGGGAGAGTTCTGGCACTCGATGGGTTTAATAATCTGTCCTACCTTGTTATTTTACTTTGTCTAACACCCCCATCATTTCACCCAATAGCAAAAAGTGTTGCACATTAATGGGTTAATAAACCAACATTGGCAATCAAGGAATTAATTGATAAAGTGCCTAATGAAAGCTTATATCATCATTATAAGTAAAATACTATATAACTATGTACTGTACGAGAAATGGCTCATTCTCGATATTTCAATCCTATACAAATTGTGTCCCATATATGTCAAGAACATAAAATCATTGGCACAATTGTCACACACAGTCAAAACATGCATTCATTCGCATCAAAATAACATATCATGTGAATCAATAAGATATTTATTCGATATCTTAACTGTTTAAACGATACACCTGAAAATGCCTACAATAATGTGATACCTTTATGACATATTGTGATACCTTTATGTGAATCCATTATATCGAACAGGTTTCAAAATCTCTGCTGGTTTACAGTAACCGACTGTACAAATCCAAAATGAAGCCACAGATTTTAAAAATATATCTCGAATTTCTCCTGTGGTGCTATGTATGATGTCCAACTGATTTAAATTCCTTGTTTGCAAAATATATCAAAGAAAATCTTGAAGCTTGTCAAATGTAGATCTTTTAAATTGCCTCAATGAACAGACTCTACCGAGACAGTGTGGCAGACTCTAGCGACTTATTCATTCAATAACTTTTGTGATAAGAGGCTGATATTCTAGCCCAGTTGGAGACACTTCTGAAAGCTATCAAATATTGGCTGGAATGTGCGCTATTATTGTGTCTATTAAATGTTGCATAGTGTACAATTTATATCTAGATTTTTTTATATTTCAACTTAAATTTAATTCATATGATATTATGACAGGATATAAACACGGCCTATATTTCATTGACATATACTTTCTCGTGCAATATTGAATTCCCTCGGGTGATTATTAGCTTACAAATTAAATTGTTAATTGATACATTCAATATTAAAGGAAATGCGAATGAAATTACGTTAGAGTATTAAATGAACTGTTGCGCGCAATGTTTTGTGGTTTTGAGGGTTTAAACCGATACAAAGGCTCAGATGCCAATGGTTTTAAAGGCAAAGCATGACTAAGCATTTATGGGATGTCATTGAACAAATACAATTTGAGAACTTAGCTTACTTAGGTAAACATTATGGGGTAAAAAGCGTCAAAATCTGAGAACGCTGATATGCAAACACGAAATACAATGTAAATAAAGCTAGTTGCACAAAAATATAGGACTATAATGACTTAGAATTTGAAATTCACAAAGCAGAATGCGTATAAAGAAAGGCACAGCAAGGCGCTTTGCACATCAGATAAATAACAAACAACATTCCTTGCAAAAACCTCACCCAAAAATTTATAAACTGAAAGGATTCGTTACTTTCTGTGCTGTAAAATAGCTTAAAATCTTTAAATAAAGCGAACCATTTGCGCGTTTATAATATTTGAATTGTTTTGGCAACATGCTGAGTGCAAGTAAATCAACACAATTTTGTAGCAAATGAGATTAATATTGTCACGCGAAATTAAGCTATTATTTCAAATGTACAAAAAACTATAAAAATATATAAACTGTTGACGAGAAGCATTAACGAATAATGTAGAATTATATAAAAAGCTCACAAATGTTAAAGAATAAGTGTATTTACATAACTAAACATAGTAAAACAACACTGGCAAAATAGACAAAGCGCGCACTGCAAGTATCAGGTTCGACAATTGAAATTTTAGAAGCGCTGTTGTGCAGCCATATAATATAACACCAAGAGGTCAAAACATTCGAAAATTATGCTAAACGGAAATAAATAAATGTAGTATCCTCTAAAACCCCCTTTTCATTCGTCTATATTGAATTTCTCCAAACAAAATACTCAAAATATCGGACTTTCGACAACATATGCATATTTCAATCGAGGGCTATTTAAATCGCAAGCATAACACTATACCTCAGTTTGAAATTGAGTTTGAAGCAAAATACACCAAAATCTTACCGGATTTTGACTTAATCCTTAGTGTAACATCTGCTCCAGCTCCGATCTCTTCTTCAGTAAAATCGTAATGAAAGCTCATGTTGTTTTGGCCAGAATTTGCTAAAAGCAATGAATTATATAAAATTTAAATGGATAATTTGCAACGTGATTTCACACGTTTATCGCGGCAGATTCGGTTAATAAATAGGTAACAAGGCAGAAATGTTAGGTATAAATTACACAAAATGATGTCTGTATAATATGTGTTTTGAAATCTCTTTGTGTAAATGTAATGTCTACCACATACCTTGACAATTTTATAATCACTCAAGCAAATTGAGCTCGAAATTGAATACAATATTACAAGCACTGCCCCTACTTTCTGAGAAGCGGGAAAGCTCCTGAAAGCTTTCAAAAAGCGTTTAAACTCGACTTGTCAAAGTTAGAGTCGTTTTTTAAGCTCCATTGCTCCTTTGAGCCATTGACCACAGAAACATCAAACAGATTGTGTACTTCCGATCTTCGCCCGAGGTGCTGCCGTTTCCTGCCGATAATTCGGCATGGAAATTTTTCCCGAAATTTGTTGTATTTCGCTCCCCCCTGATTACATGCAAAAGCAATGGTATTTTCTAAACTTACTACACTGAAACAGGGGGGAGTGATTGAATAGTGGTATAAAACAATGCCAAGTATGAACGGAATTTTTTGAGCAGTTTAGTTGTATTCTCCTCCCCCGTGATTTTAAGCAAAGTAAGAGTATTTGTATAGTCTGTTATGTGAAAGCACGGGGGGTGTTTACTGGTGTGAATTTAACATGTTAGTTGAATTGAAATGTAATTCAAAATATGCATTCAGGAATTTAAATTATGTCAATTTTTCACGCCAGCTTGAGATATAATAATAAACATTCAATGAATTAAATATGCCATAAAAAATTTTCAAATTCAAAAATTTTCAATTTGCAAAACCAAATGGCTAAAATTGTTGCTTAAAATTTATAAACATTTTATTGAAGAGATGTATTGGTAAGTTACCTAAGCCAAGTAATCGTTGATTCTATAAAATATTAATAGCTTATATTTTGACCCCTGCTGCGGGGAGTTTATAAATATAATCTTTTTGATTATATATTCAAAGGCCAAACATCGTTTAAAAGGAGTCTAAAATCTACCAAAATAGACCAAACTACATTCCAAAGTCGGACCAACGCGTACGTGCTTCGATCAGTTTTGTAGCTTTGCCATTGGCTGAATTTTATGAACGCTGATTGGCTAGAAATATAATCGATTCAAAAAGTCGATGTTTTGCAAGACAATGGAACATTCTGATCACTGGATCATGACTGGATGACATGGAGAACAGTGAGATTTTCAAAACAATGAAAACACAATGGAACATTCTGATCACTGGATCATGACTGGATGACATGAAGAACAGTGAGATTTTCAAAACAATGAAAAGTCAATGGAACATTCTGATCACTGGATCATGACTGGTTGGCATGGAGAACAATGAGATTTTCAAAACAATGAAAAGACAATGGAACATTCTGATCACTGGATCATGACTGGATGACATGGAGAACAGTGAGATTTTCAAAACAATGAAAAGACAATGGAACATTCTGATCACTGGATCATGACTGGATGACATGGAGAACAGTGAGATTTTCAAAACAATGGAAAGACAATGGAACATTCTGATCACTGGATCATGACTGGATGGCATGGAGAACAGTGAGATTTTCAAAACAATGAAAAGACAATGGAACATTCTGATCACTGGATCATGACTGGATGGCATGGAGAACAGTGAGATTTTCAAAACAATGAAAAGACAATGGAACATTCTAATCACTGGATCATGACTGGATGACATGGAGAACAGTGAGATTTTCAAAACAATGAAAAGACAATGGAACATTCTAATCACTGGATCATGACTGGATGGCATGGAGAACAGTGGGAGTTTGGTGAAGGATTTTGTATATGAAAATATGTAGTGTAAATTAGTATACATTTATTATCGCGGAGGTTCGATCTTTAGTGATAGCTGCCTATATCGTGCTTGCATGACTAACGCTGGCTCAGTATTGAATTGTAAAGCAAGAAAATTCTCACATATTGTCTTCTTTCCTTCCTGACAGAGAATGAAATGAATACAGCTGAATGGCTGCGATTATCAAAACAATATCGCAATACAGCACTAAGTGTTGAATAAAATGAGACAAGAACTCATCCAATCTTCATCATTACCTGGCCAGCACTTCTCTGAGCAGAGTGAAGACTATTTGATCGTTGAATTGAAATATTTATAATCTAGAAACATGGTGGTTGGCCCGTGGTGGATTGACTCAAATCGTCCAAGCGATATAGATATTCAACGAATCTGCAACAAGGTAAAGAAATAAGTTTAATTTAAAGTTTTAAAAAGATGTATCTTGTATTTTATTTGAGTAAAAACATAGTTGGAACACTCATTGAAACCTTTATTTTGTTAATCTAAGGCTTGAAATGCAATAGAGTATAAACGAGTTTTCTTTTACAAATAAAACAAACAAACTGTATATATTTACAAGAAATCGGTTAGGAAAAACCATACTTAAGTTACTTTAAGCCTTATAGATTACTATTTTATTAATATAATATGATTTCACTTCGAGAGTTTTGGGGAAGAAAAAATGGGGTTTTTGTTGATAGAATTTTGAACACAAATTTATATGTACATTTTAGGCCTAGCGGAATTGGCTAGCTCTAAAATTTACACATAACTTTGTGTTAGAAAATTCCATCCACGCCGAAAAACCATCTACCATCCATATTTAAAATTTAGTAGCAAATAAGTCATGATAATAATCTATACATTAAATTATACTTCTCGGTAACAATCAATTTATGAAATGAAAAATATGATAATGATCTATTCAAGAATACTATTATGCGGTTTACGGGGACTATATTTTTTTGCGCAAAGAATGAAATACTAAATTTAATTCCCATTGACATTAATAACAGTCTTGGAAAATATTGGGTGTGTCGAAAACCAACGTTATAGTCAAGTTTCTCAAGTGCATTTCAGGATTAATTGTACTTTCAGTCACTGATAAATTGATAAAAGCTGTTGAATCTATAATACAACTTCTCAAACGATAATCAAGCTCGCCCGGTGTGGATATACACTCAGAGTAACATCACAAACATCAAGTAACAAGAAAGTTAATATTCCCGTTTACCAAGATAAATGGTACAACACTACGACAAAGCCAATTTGTATTGCGTATATTGGTAATTAGTCATGAATTATTAGCTCCAATAATTGCTTCAAGGTCTAAAAATATAGTCAAAGACACGTGTTAACTTCAGATATATAAAGAATTTTATTAATTGAAACGGATACGTAATTGGACTATTATGTAATTATATAGCCAAATGGCAAAAACATGTAAATAATTGTCTATCAAACGCAGGCATGTATCTGACCGTTAGCAAAGAGCCTAGAACTAGCAATCTGCTGGGCCCTGCTGTATTTAATGACTTGTTTTCATTCTCAATTTCCTGAAGATATTAAAGACACAAAAGACACCACTTTGAAATAAATATCTGCTATCGTTTTCCCTTCGAGCTATTTCGAATAAAATATACTGGGAAATTTTTCTGTAATTCATTAATAATATGTACTTTGTCTGTAATTTATCGACGAATTTACTTTAGGTGAGGCCAGTTGCTGAATTCACTGCAGGAAAAGCGAGAAAATGTAAAGTTCCATTCCCAAGATTCGTAGCGGTCGAATATAAAACCCAACTTGAACATGGCACAAATTACTTTGTCAAGGTAACAAGAATCCACGTTTATACTGAAACAATACTGGATATCTGCAGGCAAGAACAGTTTAGAACTGATAGAGCTATCCAGTATAAATAAGGTTAGTTTAGTTTAGGTTTCCTCCTGTAGTAACACTGGATCAATAAGAGATGATCCTTACTGGACCTCTAGGAAGAACAGTTTGGAACTGATAGAGCTATCCAGTATAAATAAAGTTAGTTTAGTTTAGATTCGTAGAGTCGAATATAAAACCCAACTTGAACATGGCACAATTAAATTACTTTGTCAAGGTAACAAGAATCCACGTTTATACTGAAACAATACTGGACCTCTAGGAAGAACAGTTTGGAACTGATAGAGCTATCCAGTATAAATAAAGTTAGTTTAGTTTAGGTTCCTCTTGTAGTAACACTAGTGGATCAATAAGAGATGATCCCTACTGGACCTCCAGGAAGAACAGTTTAGAACTGATAGAGTTATCCAGTATAAATAATTAAGTTAGTTTAGTCTAATTTCAAGCATTTCTTCTTGAAGGTTGACGCTGGAGTATGTTATGTTCATTTGCGCGTTCATCAAGACTACGAGGTCGGAGGGGGAAGGATAAAACTGGAGAAAATGTTGGTTAACCTCGACGAAGATTACCCTCTGGAATATTTTGATTAAACTTTGATTATATAGATCTATTATGATTATGTATATGTAATCTATTGATTAACTGTGATTATCCGTAGTTGACAATACATGTCTGGAAAAGTTATATTGTGCACAGTAAAACATTTTCTATTTTAACAATAAACTTAAGAGTAAATATATATATATAGTATTAAATTGGGACAAGGTTTAAAGGTCGTATATGGTAGTTTGTATAGATTGTTTTCAGATGTGAACGTTTTGTTTGTAGTACTTAGCTGTTTTTATCCGTTCAAAAATTTATTAAAAGTTTATTTAATCATCCTTACTTGCAGCTGAGAGCTAAGCTGAATTACGAAGGACGCAGCTCAATCTGATCAAGGCGAAAGCTTTTTAAGGGCCCCTCTAGCAGCCACCTTATCACTCATCTCTGATCAAGCATAATTATTGAAAAGTCCATAATCTCTGTGAGCTAAATAATTGAGAGACTTTCTAAAGCCTTTAGGAAAGTTAGAACGATAAAAAGCGACTTGAAATGAGCTTTGCGGGGATTAAGATGCTTATCTTTTTATTTTGTCTATGTTTTGAACAATTATCGAACCGGACTATCTGGAGAGTTGAACTCCCATAAAACACATAAGGAATACTAAAATTCTGTATAGAAACTTAAAAAAAATTAACTATGAATTAACTCTGTGCCACATCGATGAACTCTCGTCAAATTTGAACCAGCTAGCTTATAAAGGTAACATTCTCGTTCCCAGGCGGCGCGCGACCTTCATAGGCCCTGGGATACACGGAACCGGAAGGGCAAGATAACTTGCAGTAGTTAGTTCTAAAGCGCATGCTCATGAATTTGGACGCTTTATAGCACCCGTAACAATTTTCACAGTGAAGTATTACGCGAAGAAACGAAGTATTTGTGTTGACATATTTTGATAGAATAATTTTGCCTAGCCGAAACTGCTCAACTTCTGGGAACACAGAGTCTAATTTTCAACGTGTGACCGAGTGAAAATGTCTCTGGGGACGAGAATGCGTTTGAACGCGCATGACTCAAGGCGAGCAAGAGAATAGGACTGGGAACTAGCCAGCATAATCCCGCTGAGTTCTGAACTGATGTGCTGTGCAAGTATACTGTGTCTTGCCAAATCCCAGTGTTTGCACATAAACAACTAAAATACAATACAATCAATTTTAAATCGCGCAGTATGCTGCCTACTTATGACGATACACAGAGAGTCTTGTTAGAAGCGGCTCAAACATCCACAAACACCGCAAATTCCGAGCTCAACGCAAAACAACTAACATTGGATGTTATCAACTGTTAGCCAAGTCTAAGCATTGTTAATCTTTGGTATTTTAATCCACTTTTCTTTGCTTGTTTGGCTAACATATTAAGCTTTTCTTTCTTAACGTTTGTGGAGTTTTGAGGCGGCGCTGTGCTCGTTTAATCAACTGAAGCCGCGAAGCATATAGTCAAAGAAACCGGTTAATTAGAGAATGCTGTGCTTGCACTGTTTTGCTACAAAGGCCCCTAGATGTCATTTAGCTAAACAGACCGTTATTGTCTCGTTAAAAGCTCTTAACTTTACAGCCTATGTGCTCGCTGTTAGGGTAATAAATTATTAACACAGGCATAAAGTTCAATTCAACATTTGGTCAACCACGGAGGCTTAATTGACTTAAATTTAATGAAGATGGGGATTTTTTTCGTGTCAAAATAGTGTAAAGGCTTATCAGTGTTTGCAAGCATGGCTTTTGTGTAATAGAGTTACAAGTTGGAGCTTGTAGCTTGTTTAGCCGTTTCATACAACAGAGAGTAAAGCCATTAATCATTGTGTGACACTCAATTGATAATAAATAGTAGATACTAACAGTTAATTGTGGCTGTCATAAAACGCTATAATCACCTCAAAGGCCGAATATAATTCATTGTCTCGTACAAGCGAGTGGAGGCTCAATCAAGCAAATTCTGTGGACTTAATCTCGGCGACGTATAAAAGTAAGTGCATTTAAATCAGTTTACTCCGTTCAAAATAGCTTTAGATACATAAATAACTGCAGTTTATTGGGAGAAACAGTATTTTTAGGAAATATAGATTTTATACGCACTGCGGGTGTCGAGTTTAAATGATTTGCACCGAATTCTCGCGTCGCTTGGTGAATTTGCAAGCCTTTATTAAAGTCTATCAAGGGTGCCTCGTGTATTTGTTTTAAAGTAGCGAAATTGAGGAACCTCAGTAGAGTTGCACAATATAGTTTTCTACATTTTTGGCGTCAGGTGTTAAAGTGAAAATGATCTAAATGCAGCGCACTTATCGTTAATTGATCTAAGTTTGCATATAAATGAAAAATTTTGTAAAACACATCATTATTAGAATCAGTGAAATAGCATTTAAATGTCATTTTGCAGATGTAAAATCCGCGGATCGTTTAAAGGCTTTCCCAAAGCATAATTTGCGGCGTTGCATATGATAAAATTTAAAAAAAAACAGGGACAAATTTCGACGTCCCCTTCGTCTGTCAGCTGCAGCGTGGCTAAACTTTCGCAAAGTTTTGCCGTATAGGACATAATATACGCGAAAGCGAATGAATTTTCAAGCAAGTAATTTTCGAAATACTATAAGGAATGTGTCTTAGTCAATTGTGGATGCGCGCGGTCATATACCAAGACTTTTCCAACTTGCATGTAGTCAAGCGCACAATTGTATTCTTCGCAAGTTACAAAACGTAGAACTCAATGCGCGCAATATATTCAGGAATAAACCTAACATTGCGTTGAACTCGTGATATTCAGCGAAGTCGAGCTGACGAATCGGATATTGAATCATACTTCCTTGATGGTCTGAAATTATAAGCGAAAAAAAATTTACTCCCATAAAACTTTTTAATGCCAAATTTTAATAGTTTTTCTAATATTTTTAATGGAAATTCAAGGCTCTATATATAGTCCAATATCGATAATTGTTATAAACAGAGTCAAAATAAAACGATAAGGTTTTAATGTCCGCAAACGGCTCATTTCACGTTAGCTTTTATCAGTCTCAAACACTGAAATCATTAACACCAGAAAATGATATAACGCGCGTCGTATAATTGTGGTTTTTGCTGATAATCAGAAACGACATTCATCTTCTATAATGTATTGAGCCCAGGGCGATTATCATGCAAACCCACGATGGCAAAGGTCAAGGACGCTTGCTTTGACAATAGCGTCACCCTAAACTCTAAAGAGGCAAACCCAATTCCAAATTGTTAAAATACACTGACTACAAATGATAATTCTCGAAATAAAATAATTTCGGCAAATTACGAAACTGATGCTTATTAATCAAAACAAAACCTTGGCTCCCCCCCCCCCTCTCAGTGTTGACATTTGGATAACCTTTGCTAATGTATAACCTACATTGTATGGGGGGGGGAGGGCTAACCCAATTCGTCTACGAAGAAAATATTCATGCTTAAATTCAGCAAGTACTTTTAATCATCGTAGCTTACAATGCATACATTTTAGCGCGTTCTAATACTCAAACATTTCACACTTTGTCTATATGTTAGATATTTAAAACACTATTAGATATTGAAATGCTATATATGCAGTGAAACGACGCTATCTCGAAGACTCCGCATCGAGATAACCGAATCAGGTCAAATTACAGAAAAATGGTTAATAATCATTATTAATTCAAATTAACGTGGACAGGCCTAATCCAATGACCCATTGATGCGATTTTTATTTGCAAAAGATCATTTAAACAATTGCGCTGCATGCAGGTATTTCAAATCAAAGCCGAATTTTGTTTGCCAAAACCATAGGAGTATTTCTTGTACCAAGTTTTCATTGGCGGCCATACACACGAACAGATTTTCCTTGTCCAAAATTTGGCATGACTAGCTTTTAAGAACAAGACTCCTTGGATCTTTGCAAGGATAACGTATTAACGAAAACTCAATATGTTTACTTATGACGAATATATATACGTAAAAGTATTTTCTCTTAACACTTGAACTTCTAGAAATTTCTGACCCAGTTGGATCCGTTATGTTTACAAGTAATAATATTTACCCCCATAATTGTTTGAATGTGGGCCTCAGCTTTAATATAAAATGGCAAACTGTGAGATGTGCAGATTATATAGAAAATACGCTATATGCACGGTGACACCTAGGGGTCACAATGGTTAACGCATGTGCGATTGATTCGGCCAACAGACCCCCACAGCTTCGTATGTGGGAATGGCAAAACCCGTATACCATTATAAGGACAGCTGTAGTTGGATATTTGAGAGTTTAAGTATAACTTGTGATATAGAGAATTTGTCTACTTAAGGAGAAGGAGAACTGCACTTAACCGACTTCCGGTTCGATGAGGACACATTTCTGCTGTTGCGAGACAGTGATTTGCATATAGCGAGCTTGTATTTTGCCCCGTTTTGAGTATATAATTGCATATATATAAAGTCTATTTTATAGGTAAGCGTTTCTGGGGGTCATGTCTGCATGGATTTATATAATTTGTTTGTTTAAAGACTTCCAACTGATTTTATACACACAAACTTTTCACAAGTCTATTTAATTGCATTGAAAAGGGCCGGTTTATGTATACTTCAAACCTTTTACTCAGCAAAAACAGTTGTATAAGTCAGAAATTCGGAACCCAAAATTGCGTTTAAAGTTGATCACATATATGAACCACCTGCTCTGTGATTTCCTTTCAAATTCACAGTTGGAGTTTTGTCCAAAAAATTACCAGGGAAATGTAACTTTTCACACATTTTTACTGAAAACACATAATTATTGGTGTTAGCTAGTATTTCATTTCGGTTTGTCAGAAAACTACTTAATTATTATTGCCTTCCGCGAATTTGCATACATGTATAAAACTAATTTAATCATTGGGTTAATTTTTCTTCACATATTTCATTTAATATATGAATTTAAGTATTCTATTCGACACCCTGGAGCAGGGGTTTCCTGTGTTGCTGAAGTTGTAGCCTGCGCTCAGGCTGCCTCGTCGCTTCCATCCGCCATGCCTTAAAACGCGCCTGACTCTATAAGACCTCTGCGTGCGCCCCGGGTATCTATCTGGAAGTCTATAATCACCTTAGTGGAATGTCTATAAGCACAAAGGCTCATAGATGATATCTTAATCTTCCATGCTAAAAATTAGCACTAAAAAATGGCAAGAATATTATCTAATTACTTGCGTTATGATCATAGTTGATGATTTTAATTTTCTTTAACGTCTACATCTGGTTTACATGCCTCGATATATATTAAAATTTAGAACTGATAGAGCTATCCAGTATAAATAAAGTTAGTTTAGTTTAGATTTCCTCCTGTAGTAACACTGGATCAATAAGAGATGATCCTTATTGGACCTCTAGGGAGAACAGCTTAGACTATTGACAGAGCTATCCAGTATAAATAAAGTTAGTTTAGTTTAGGTTTCCTCCAGTAGTAACACTGGAACAATAAGAGATGATCTTTATTAGACCTCTAGGAAGAACAGTGTAGAACTGATAGAGCTATCCAGTGTAAATAAAGTTAGTTTAGTTTAGGTTTCCTCATGTAGTAACACTGGATCAATAAGAGATGACCCTTACTGGACCTCTAGGAAGAACAGTTTAGAACTGATAGAGCTATCCAGTGTAAATAAAGGTTTATAGTTAATTCTTCTTATCGTGACAAGCAGAAACAATACGAAATGACCCTTACTGGACCTCTATAAGAAGGACAGTTTTTGATGACCAAAAACAGTGACAAGAATTGGCCTTTTATCCATTGTGGATTATAGATAGGATGCGAATTCATGCTTTAGTCTTAATGATCCCCCTTGCAGAATTCAGACTATAAACACCCCAGTCTTTTATGCAGTTCGCAGCAGCATTATACATTAAGTAATAGACTTAACATTGTTTTAATGATTGCAGATAACAGCGCACAATGCTGTGAAAGATTAGTAAAATTCTACAAATGCTATTGCATTCATCTTCATTCATCTGTCAATCATCGTTGGACGTAATATGAATTACGTGTGTTGAACACTAGCGATTTTTTGCGCGTCAATTATGAGTTCTAAATAAAGTATGTTTTTTTTAAATGCAGCAAAATTCATTAACAATGATTCAAATCTTTTGAAAACACTCCGGAGTACCGTATTTGAAAGCAGAAGTCTATTTTTGTGAAAACAATGGCCTAATTTTTCTAAAATTGCGAGTTGATTAAAATGGTTTGTTCATTGCGAGTGGTCTGTTAATTTAATTACACTGAAGCCATAGGCATCAGCAGTTGCACAGTATTCTGACTGCAGCGTGTGATTCTCTGTTGCATGAAATAAAGACGCACAGGATTGCTGCATTGTAAAGATTTATCAAGATATCCTACTGAACGAGTCTATGGAAGGTTAGTCAGCTTGCAGAGCTGTTAGCGTCAAGAATACACTCGTTTTGGAAGAACACGAAAGTCATTAAGGTAACTCCGTTTTTTTAACGCAATATAGATCGTGCTGTTTCATTGACATAGATCATTCTTGAAGGACATTTGCAATTTTGTGGGTAGAAATATAGATGGTCTAATAGAGCCATTATTGGTGTATTTGAGTCGCATTTGTATAGGTGATTCTTGTCAAGTATATTATACATATGTTTTTAGCACCATTTATGTTGCTGTCAGCCAAAACATCAAACGAAAATTGAACCTAGCCAATGCATGTTGTTTTGTTTAAACTGTTCTTCCCAGACGGTTTAACAATAGTCGTCTCCAATACGTTCAGTGACTGTGCGATGTTTCAACAACACGTAGTTATATATGATATATTTACCATTGTTCAGTGCTAATTTTTAACTTCGATTAAAATGCATACGAATTTCACTTTTCCGCTAGTTCTGCGATTACGTCTTTGTGCTTTCACTAAAATTATTCTGCAGTTGCCTTAAATTGATCTGATGTTGTACAGAACTCACTGCTGAGTAAAGCATGCTTAGATCATGCAGAGGTAGTACATGTTCTTGAATGTGGGCTACCTTAAAATGATGATGTTGTACATAACTCACAGCTGAGTTAAGCATGGTTAGATCATACAGAGGTACATGTTCTTGAATGTGAGCTACCTTAAAGTGATCTGATGTTGTGCCGAACTCACTGCTGAGTTAAGAATGCTTAGATCATGCAGAGGTAGTACATGTACTTGAATGTCATTGTGAGCTGCCTTAAAGTGATCTGATGTTGTACAGAACACACTGCTGAGTTAAGCATGGTTAGATCATGCAGAGGTAGCACATTTTTTTGAATGTGAGCTACCTTAAAGCAATCTGATATATATGTCAGACTTCCCAGCCTGGCTTTGAGAGTAATGGCAAAAGCGAGAACCGATTACATTTGCAGTAAATTCAGTATTGAGATAGTCAGAGCTACAGACTATTAACAACTTTAAAAATTCGATACCTTACAATCCAAGAACATCTTCCGTGCAATTGTATAGTTTCGTCACGTGAAATCGTGAATCATCATAGAGCTATCTATAATATCATACAGAAAAAAGTTGCTCAAGTTTGTCATAAAATTAAATGAATAAGGGATACTCTGATAGCTATCCAGTATAAATAAAGTTAGTTTAGTTTAGGTTTCCTCCTGTAGTAACACTGGATCAATAAGAGATCATCCTTACTGGACCCCTATAGGAAGAACAGTTTAGAACTGATAGAGCTTTCCAGTATAAATAAAGTTAGTTTAGTTTAGGTTTCCTCCTGTAGTAACACTGGATCAATAAGAGATGATCCTTACTGGACCTCTAGCAAGAACAGTTTAGAACTGATAGAGCTATCCAGTATAAATAAAGTTAGTTTAGTTTAGGTTTCCTCCTGTAGTAACACTGGATCAATAAGAGATCATCCTTACTGGACCCCTATAGGAAGAACAGTTTAGAACTGATAGAGCTTTCCAGTATAAATAAAGTTACTTTAGTTTAGGTTTCCTCCTGTAGTAACACTGGATCAATAAGAGATCATCCTTACTGGACCCCTATAGGAAGAACAGTTTAGAACTGATAGAGCTATCCAGTATAAATAAAGTTAGTTTAGTTTAGGTTTCCTCCTGCAGTAACACTGGATCAATAAGAGATCATCCTAACTGGACCCCTATAGGAAGAACAGTTTAGAACTGATAGAGCTATCTAGTATAAATAAAGTTAGTTTAGTTTAGGTTTCCTCCTGTAGTAACACTGGATTAATAAGAAATAATCCTTATTGGACCTCTAGGAAGAACAATTTAGAACTGATAGAGCTATCCAGTATAAATAAAGTTAGTTTAGTTTTCCCTTCTAATAGAACTGGATCAGTATAAGTGACTTTCTAGACCTCTATAGAGAGGCCACGCAGATGGCGCGGTCTTATGAGCAAGCGAAAAGGCGTCAATATGCCAACAATGTCTATATTTGTTAAAGTGTATTATGACTATATACCAAGTGATGAAAAAGGCCGAATAGATGCAATCGACATCATCTAATTATGTAATTTAAGTAATGTACATACATACAGACTCGAACGCAATAAGGTTTAAAAATTGGAGCAGTTGCAATGGCTGCCAGCTGTTCCGAAAGACACTTCAAGTCAGCCGTAAAAATTAAACCAGCTATTGAACTAAAATACCTTTTATCATATCCAGTCAATGCTAACTTAAATTTCGACGCATAACTTCAACATTAGTCGAGCCGATATGAAGATTCTTTTACAAATTTATTCATATCAACAAAAAATGAAATAATAAATTAATTTTGACGCTGATTCCCATTGGCTATTTGTAATAATTAGTCGTTTGTAAAGTGAATTACGGTCGAGTTAACTGTTCGTGTCGAATGTTACAACTGTGTGTAAGTTGAGCAGTTATGTAAGAAAGGGCATTTACATCTAGCAATCGTATTAGCACGATAAGCAAAACTTTTAAGAGAGAGGTAAGCTGATTTTATGTATATATGTATGTTTAAAGTCGAACAGTAATTTCTAAATTTTCTAACGGAGATTTACCGTAGCAACGTTCTGATTGCTAAGCTATTGAGGCCGTTCGCATTTAGCGCTCTTGGAGATCGATGAATCATTGATCTAAATTAAAACAATCTAATTCTAAATGCAACCCGTGTGGTCTGTATACTTGGACTCCTTGTGGAGTGGGCATGCACAGTTCAAAAACATGACGTGCAGCCAGACTGCTCAGCACGAAATTAGCTCGGAACAAAGATGATACGCACGTGAAAATCTCACAACTTGTCAACAAGATGTGTTGGCAACAAGCTTGTACTTTGTAGCAAGCAAGTCAACAGGTTGTAACAATGCTGCTATTTTATCAAGTTTCTACAAGGTTGTCACTCACAACTTGTTAACGAATTGGTGCCGGAATTACAGGACGATAACAAGTTGTTGGAACGACTTGTAACAAGTAGAAATGCTTACATATCATAAACATTACTATATCAAAGTTTTATATCAATCCAATTGTCATTCATCAAAAATTAAGATAATGCAATTATATATGGGCTTATTCCAGAGCATTACAAGTAAACTTTGACGTCACAAGCGTGGGGAGGTTTGTCCTTTCAGTCTGACAAAAAAGAAACAAAAAATGATGCGCTGTAGTGTCTGACAAGAATGGAAATGACTTGAGTATAAATTGAAATTTCATTGCTGATTTCAATTAAGAAAGTAAATACAGTCTGTCTCGAATATTAAACTGCTTTCGCGCAGGTCATATTAACAAATTATAGAAATTGATTTGCAAGCGCTTCATTGACATTGTTTATAATGAATATCTTCGGAACTTATTAATAAAATATGCTATAAAACCTATATGCAGCCCAACAAAAATCACAATTTTATTCTTTTAATATGTATGCGTTAAAAGCCATTGCAGGGCGCAATAAGGAATATTGCAAATTAATGGGTTCAAGAAATACGAGTCTGGTTAATTAAACGATTTTCAACACCCAACACATTCCGCTTCGCACTTCTTGTTCCCAGTTGTGGTGACAAGTCTGGAACAAGTTGTTATCATCTTGTTACAAGGTTGATGACGGTAACAGACTTGCTACAAGTTGTTCCAACAAGACTAATACAGGCTGTTCGTAACAAGTTGCTACGAGCTTGTTGCCATCAATTTGTTAACAACTTGTTACGTGCAGACGATATCGGACTTGTTGGAACAACTTGTTGCGAGTCTGTTGGCCTCGTCAACCTTGTTTACAAGATGATAACAACTTGTTCCAGACTTGTCAATGTTGACAAGCTGTGAAATTTTTACGAGTGTATATATCTCCAAATTATCTGATTTTTAAATGAATATGTTTTACATTGCATAACTAAAATTTGGCATTCTTCAATAAACTATTGAGGAGTATCACATCTTTAAAACCAAATTTAATCTGTTCAACAAAAAAAACTCCGTAATTTTTCAGAGAAACGTCTAAAGCAACTATAGTTTTTAGCAAAACTTTGTGATACAATACAAGCTTTCGAGAATCGCCTATACAGAATTTACAAAGCACATTTTTATAAAATACACTATGTCATTTTCTCTGCGCATTAAACCGTATCTAATTAGACAAAGGTAATCCTTTTTGCTAAGTAAAACAAAAATGATTAGCCTTAACGAATGCGAAATAATTATTCTTATTAGGATTATTGGTCTTAATCATTAGGCCAGAATAGTTTGCGCTATGCTTTGTCGCGTAGAATATATTACATATGCTGTGAATTTAGACGAGATTTAGCACAAAATTATGTTAAAAAGTGCTGTATATTTGCTTTTTTTCGAGGTTAAACGATATAGGAAAACAGCCTAACTTAAAACTATCAAAAAATGTACTTGATTGTAAAGTAAGTACCCACAAAATAGCCAGAAAATCATATTGATTCTATAATGTGCCTCGAGAATTCCTTAGCAAGAGTTTTGAAAATCCTTAGTTTTTCCTGAAATTTCCTATCAAACTCATTCAGTTTTTCTAACAAACTTAAAGTATATACAAAATTCCTGTTTTCAAGGATAAATTCTGAAAAGTAAGAGTGCTGCCATGAGCGAGCCGCTGCCCAAAACGAGCCCGCGCATGTGCAAATTGAAAAACATCTGCTCCGGTTAGGATGTCAAAACGCTATTTGTACTGTGTAAAAAAAACTACAAAATCTCTACGGGGTTTATTTGGGCGCTTGTCTTGAACATTATCTTTATTCTGGCCGTAAATAAACTAAATTAACGATGGGTTTTGTGCCTTTTTGTTTCAATTTTAGTCAGTATAATTGTATGATGTACAGCATAGAAGCACGGTATTGAATCGCTAAATTACAAATTATCAATATGATTGTTTGCCTAAAATCGCATTTTGTTCACGGGGTTAATATGTGGGGGAGAAATTCTCAAAGCAATTTGTTAATTCGTAGTTCCGCATGGGGAAATTCTCGCTTCGCAAAGTTTGTTATTACTTCAACTCATATGCAATCTCACGAGTTTAGCTTCAGACGCATGATAAAGCCATTGCAATTTACATTGTAAAATCTCACTGGCTATTTTTAATTGAGCTTTGCTCAAAGCAAAGTTATTCAAATTGCGAGAAAGCATTCAATCTGTCTGAGTCGAGTGTCGTAGAACACGCGGCCATTGCCGCTTGCTTTTAACAATGATGCATTGAAAGTAGTATGGCATGCTCGTATCAGACAACATGAATTTACAAAGGGTATGTTATGAAATGTTATTGCTCTTTTTGTAATGGCTTAGTCAGGAAGGTTTAATCTAGCAACTTGAGTAGTTTATCAGCTACAAATACAAGGATATATATAAGATTTAAATTTTTTAAGAAGCTAGCGAGTTTTTACGCTTGAAAAAGTTCGTTTTTTAATTCTACTCTTCAAAGCGCTGTAAAATTCTATATATAAAGTAGCAACTTAACACCACAGTACGAATTACTTGATATATTCGCATGAATTTTACGTCAATCTCGTTAACTAATATATAGCATTTCACTGCCATTCTGTCGACTGTCATATAACAATCATATGTGTACATTTTACGCGTATAAACGAAATATTAAAAGCGTAGGTTTTGTCTGGGAACAGTTAGTCGAACAAAGACGGGCAAAATAACGGCTTAATGTAGTTAAAAATTTACCAGTTTTAAAAAATTCAAATAGGCGTTATTTGCGGCAGATTATTAAGAATTCGTGATATTAAAACGCGAAAAATATCCACCGTCGCAGACAGAGTTTTCGCTTTTAAGTTGTTAGCGTGAATGTGGAAGTAGATTTGGAATTATATTTTGAAAATAAAGTAATTTGGATGAGTTCGAAATAGGTGTCCCGCTGGACGCGAACATGATACAATATGCGTAGTTGACGAATTAAATTTAAGCCCGCATTACAATTAACAAGGGTTGAGTCAGCATTGAAGCACTTTCAATCAATTCAATGTAGCAAAGTATAGAATTTTGAAGGCTAGTTCCCATTATTGATGTTTCCTTGATCGAAATATGTTTTGATCATAATGTGTGCATGAACTAACTTTATTTATACTGGATATATCAGTTCTAAACTGTTCTTCCTAGAGGTCCAGTAAGGATCATCTCTTATTAATCCAGTGTTACTACAGGAGGAAAGCTAAACTAAACTAACTTTATTTATACTGGATAGCTCTATTACTTCTAAACTGTTCTTCCTAGAGGTCCAGAAAGGATCATCTCTTATTGATCCAGTGTTAATATTACAGGAGGAAACCTAAACTATAAACACAGTTATAGTGTACTTTAGGTTTCCTCCTGTAGTAACACTGGATCAATAAGAGATGATCCTTACTGGACCTCTAGGGAGAACAGTTTAGAACTGATAGAGCTATCCAGTATAAATAAAGTTAGATAGTTTAAGGTTTCCTTCGGTAGTAACACTAGATCAATAAGAGATGATCCTCACTGGACCTCTAGGAAGAACAGTTTAGAACTGATAAAGCTATCCAGTATAAATAAAGTTTAGGTTTCCTCCTTCAGTAACAATAAGGGTAATTACTCTTGCTGGACGTGTAGGGAAAGCTATCGTGCAATAAAAATAAAATACTTTTAGTAAATATCTTGTATTGTCGTTGATTTTAAATGACAAATGGTTAACACTTGAAAGTCAATTTTCATTGGCGTGAACTTTGGCAGGGCAGGTGGACTTTTTTCAATGTCTTTAACTTGCTTTGAAGACTAAAATTACTTTATAAAAATACTAAAATGTGAAATGCATTGTCGTGAACAGAATATACGATCAGTCGTTGCGAAAAAATAGTACATATTTTATTATTTTAATTTTTTTTTTCGAAAACAGCACAATTTTCGTGCGCGAACGAAAAGCTATTGAAACAGTTGAACAATAGCTGTTAATGAGTGTCAGCAATATCTATTGATGCAATACTTTGTACGCCTAATGAAATATTATTTTGTTTTGTATAAAACATTTAAATTTTACAAAAACAAGTGTAAATTAAGTTTCGTTTGTAGGTGGAGATTTAGTAATATTGGCCTCGTTGCGCAGAATGCACAGTCATATTACGGAATGTTAAAAATATTCCTGAACGCCTGAGAAAGTCTTATATGTAGAAAGTTCCACCTGAGATTTGGACTGGGGGCTAACCTAAAGAGCGATTGAATTCTATGGTTTTCAGGTTGCAAATGCTTATAGTGCTGTTTTACTGTTTTTTTTAGCGGCAGGAGTGCTTTGATGAATCTTTAATAGACTTTATATTAAATAAAGTTAGTTTAGTTTAGTTTTCCTCCTGTAATAACACTGGGTCAATAAGAGATGATCCTTACTGGACCTCTAGGAAGAACAGTTTAGAACTGATAGAGCTTTCCAGTATAAATAAAGTTAGTTTAGTTTAGGTTTCCTCCAGTAGTAAAACTGGATCAATAAGAGATGATCCTTATTGGACCTCTAGGGAAAACAGTTTAGAACAGATAGATCTATTCAGCCGTATAAATAAAGTTAGTTTAGTTTAGGATTCCTCCTGTAGTAACACTGGATCAATAAGAGATGATCCTTACTGGACCTCTAGGAAGAACAGTTTAGAAATGATAGATCTATCCAGTATAAAAAAGTTAGTTTAGTTTAGGTTTCCTCCAGTAGTAACACTGGATCAATAAGAGATGATCCTTACTAGACCTCTAGGGAGAACAGTTTAGAACTGATAGAGCTGTCCAGTATAAATAAAGTTAGTTTAGTTTAGGTTTCTTCCTGTAGTGAAACTGGATCTATAAGAGATGATCCTTGCTGGACCTCTATAGGTTCAGGTAACAAACTTGAATCTGACAGCATATTTTACAAAGCGTATTTCTACAAACCTTGTTGTATTCCGTTTCAGAGATGAGGGTTGAACAAGTGATCATACTCTGGACATGCATCTGTCTCGTGCTACCTCTCACCATGGGCTTAGAAATGCCATTCCTGGAAAAGAATATTACAAATGAAGATATATTTCTTCGCTTGAACGATGTGCAAGCTGTAACAAAACCTGAAGAATTTGTGGGATATAATATCTCGTTTACTGGCAAGAAAGAGGCTACAAAATTAACCCTTGATGAACGGTGCAGGCTAGGTCGGCCATTATCGGTGCGTTGGACCAATTATGGGCCATACGCGTCGCTGGTTCGTGGTAAGAATCGTCCTTTGGAAGGCGTGGGACTCACTGGTATATTCCCAAGTGTAATAAATGACGTGCTTGCGCAGTGTTGCCATATTAACACGCGAGTAGTATATGGGCGTTATATTTACACGCTTAAAAATTTAGAGAAAAGTTTATCGGACAAAAATTCTTCCGACGACATGATGTTCCCAGTCGGACTGCAAAGCATGGACATGGATCTTTTTAAAGAGCTTCCTGTGGTGCCATTATTAACAGCGCCTAGAACGACCCTAGTTGTTCCTGAGTCTGAAAAGCAGGGGAAGACATTGGAGTTGTTTAAGACTGTTGGTCTAGCTTGGCCCATTCTGGTGTTTATTTTCTTGGCTGCTATCCTATCTGGTGTTTTTATTTGGACGCTGGTAAGTGCTCGCTCAGGCCCACGATTCGGTGGTTAACCGAGCTCAAGCGCAATTCATTATGGTGGGTACGTACGCAGAACGTTTACTACAGTGACTAAAATCCCAATTATGTAACCCGGAACTTCTCCAAATACAGTTCGTAATCAGATACTGACGATAATATTTACTTTCTGCAACTGTGCAAAAACTTGTCTTGGAAAGAATTGTATTTTATTATTCAAACGTTGTATTTAACACATTATTCCCCCACTGATGTGGGAAAGAATTGTATTCGTAGTATGAATCAAAATTGTATTTACGCCCATTTTCAAAATTACACGGGCAGGCTGAAAATAGCTAGAGTTGATATGTCAGTTTTATTTCACACTGTGTGTGAGGAAGTTCATATTGTTTACAACTTTAAGTTTTGTGCTTCGTTATCGATGTATGTGCTCTGTACTTTAAATGTCTTTATATAAAGCATTTCGAAGGATTTTCAAGATATTTTAGTGAAAATTATTGTAAAATTTAAGCATAATATTACCGCTATATTCTAGCGCAAGCAGATTTTATACACAGTTTAATTCGAGGTTAAATTGTCCGTTCTTCAAAAGACTAAAATAAGACGAAAACTTAAAAAGTCATACATTGTGATGGTTTTGTTGTTTCTTTTAGTTTGTATATCTAGCTCATTTTTGGCGCGGCCTTTCAATGGCCGTTTCAAATTAAGGGACCCAACAGGCTTGTTTCATAACATATGTTTTATGTTTTTTATTCCTAGGATCACTTAAAGAATCCGGATGAGTTCCCTACGCCATTTATAGAGGGGGTCTGGGAAGGATTTTGGTGGGCTGTCGTTACCATGACAACAGTAGGGTAAGCATTTTCATTTAAAGTGGCTGTCTTTCAGTGGAAAGATCTCTGCAAATGGTTCCTCCGTTATGTTATTCTAGGTATGGTGATCGAGCGCCAAGATCCATCCTGGGACGTTTGTTCTGTATAATATGGATAGTAATAGGAATGAGTATTATTGCTATATTCACGGCTATGGTGACGGCTTCGCTCTCTGCAAGCATCCAGAATAATTTTGTTATCCATGGCTCTGTGGTATGTTCATCTCCATATTGATCTCCATTTTTTATCATATTTCTCTCCATATTCGCCACATTCCTCTCCATATTCATCAATTTCATCTCCACATTCGTCTCCATTTTTAACTATCATATGTGTCGTCTCTTGTTTACCGTATTTACCTCATACGGGGTTTTCAATCTTCCGTGGATTCTGTGAGGTTCTAAAGAATCAAACCTATTCTATTTCTTCAGATGGGTTCTGTAGATGGGAGCGAAGAAGAGCGTATCGGTACCGGAATGAATGCAGATGTTCGAAGTAAGTGATCATCAATTGGACAAAAATGAACACATAGATACCATTAACACATGGATAAGATTTTGCCAACGAATGGGTACGGAGTACAGTTGATGAAGCTTGTTTTCGCAATGCTTTAACAGAGGCAGACAAAATTTACATATCCCCAGAGCATACGTTTCACCGTAGCGACCTTGGCTACAGCGTAAAAATCACATTCTTGTGTTGTAACACAGAATCAAGAACCGAAACTGACTACGCAACGTTGCACGTTGGAGAGTATTTTATAAAGAAATGATGAAAATTAAAAGATGAAACTTACTGAACACAAAGCCATGCACATAAAACATATTTGGGATAAATTTGTTATGACAAGCATTTAGTATTTGCATACATGTAACAAAAACGATTTCAAACGTAGTCGGTAGTTTGTCGTCAAGATCTTACGCCCGTATTCTAAAAGCTCACTCACACTCAATGAGTGGAGGTTCAATCTGAGCTTCTCTTGAGTGTCAATGCTGTTTTTGAATAGCTAAAGAGTAAGTAGTCACAGAGTAAGTCACGAGAATAACCTTCAGCTATTCACAAACAGCATTGACACTCAAGAGAGGCTCAGATTGAACCTCCACTCTATCTTTGAGAGTTGTCAGCCTCTCTATATATTAACACTGATGAACTTATATAAACATGCTAGCTCTTTAAATTTTACACTTTTTCTCCTAGCATTTGACACACCAACGGATGTAGTTCAAGCACTTGTTGACACAACAGAACTGGAGATCGCCATAATGGATAGCTATTTATTGACATACTTTCACGAGGTTATCAAACGCGAGCCAGTAAGAGTCAAGGCTAACAAGGAACTACCGATTAACTATGGTCTAGTCTTGGCCCCTAACTCCGAAAACTTTACAAAATGTTTTACAAAATATATCAAGAATAACCCACAGGATATTTTCAACAGTGTTCGAAAGAATTTGAAACCACTAAAGGTTAGAGTCAAGTGTATAATATTATTAATTATTATTAGCATGACAAAATTACTGGATGCTGATTGGTTGAGAGGAGTACAATTATTTCATTAATTGCAATGCAATACAATTAATGATTTTTCCAAAATAAACAATATAGGAACTTGCAGCAAAAGAACTAAATGAAAATACGAACAAAAGCATCACATTTTGGTTGAACGTCTGGCATGACTGGGCTTTGCCTTTGGCGAGAGAATATGATATTGACATTGAGAATTATCCAATTTTGTCATGCTAATAATAAACAAGTAATCATGCGATGTTGCTCGTACAATTAGGGATTACCCAGGGCGAGTCCAATTTGGCAAAATTTCCAAACATCACGAGTACTATTCATCATAAACCATTATCTTACCCAACCATAAACATAGTGTTGCTGTAGAGTGTTACATAGAGTGTTACCGTCAACTCCTTGTAGAATCCAACTGATGATGTGAGTGAAGAACTGAAAGCCTCGCAAGAATTTCTTGAAGAAGAAGCATTTCATATGATTTTATATGCTCTGGCTGGCTTCCTTGGCGCATTTTTCCTGCTAGGATTGACTTGGGAATTTTGCATTTCCAAAATTTTGCGCAGTAAGTAACGAAGCATTGCTATTTATAATTAAATAATAAAGTCTGACTAACCAAATAATTCAAATTAACGTGACGACTATTTTCTCAGCAAATTAACAAACTAATGAACAAACTAATGACCCAATTAACTTTATAATTAAGTGAATAACTGACTAACTAAATAATTCTTTTTCAGCTAATTAACAAACTAATGACCTAATTAACTTCATAATGTGAATAACTAACTAAATAACTATTTTCTCAGCTAATTAACAAACTAATGACATCATTAACTTCATAGTTAAGTGAATAACTGACTAATTAAATCAGTATTTTCTCAGCTAATTAACAGACTAATGACCTAATTAACTACATAATTAAGTTTATAACTGACTAACTAAATAACTATTTTCTCAGCTAATTAAAAAACTAATGACCTAATTAACTTCATAATTAAGTAAATAACTGATTAACTAAGTAACTATTTTCTCAGCTAATTAATTAACAAATTAATGACCTAATTAACTCCATTAACTCTCTATCTACCAACCGGGAGATAATAAACACGAGATAATCAAAATAGCGTTTGCTATTAGAATCTTCAACCAAGCCCACAATGGGGTCTTTATCTTTGTCAAAACTCGAAATGCTAGCTGCAACATTCAACCTGTAATTTAGACCCATTGAAACAAACGAACGAAGAAGAACTCAAAGCAAAGAAACCAAGCGAGAACACGACAAAGAAAAGTCTGATGCAATCCTGGGCCCAAGATCCCAATCTACCCAAGGAAGCGGCTACCGAACTCGAGCTCGTCAAACTGAAATCGACAAAAATACGTCAGCTAATCCAAGAATATGACGATTTCTACGAAAAATGGATGGAGAAATTGAAAGAAGTCACAGAATATGGGGAAGACAAATGGGCGAAATATGGAACCACGCCAAATGAGAAAAATGGAGAATCCCTAATGTTGACATATAATGGCAATTGGGCTTGAACTAACCTGCGATCAGGCCTGTAAATAAATAAATAGGTCTGATACAAACCTTAAGAAAAGTCTATGCCTTACAACCGTATGTCGGTTGTAAATCTGATTGGTCTATGATCGAGACAAAAGATTTTTCAATCTGTCATTTGATTGGTTGGTGCTAATTAGTTTATACTATTGTTGATGATATATTTTATAGTGATCACAACTATAATTAGATTGTTGTTGTCGTTATCTGAAATTTCAATTTCTCCCGCGACATTTTGATTGGATACTAAATATAAACTTTGCTTCAGTGGAAAGCCATCGGATTAAGGTTTGTGTCAGGCTATATTTGTGAAATAGAGCCTGATCTCAGGTTAGGCCTGAACAAAGGATAGTTGTCGAAAATAAACATGGTTATGAATAGGAGTGTAGACGAGGGGGTTCTCAGGGTAGAGGTGTGACCTCCCAAATTTCAACTCGATTTGAAGGAGCTGCAACGAAAGTAGGCCGGCAGGTTTACGTTTTCAAACAAAGTTCTTTTTCCTCATTCTTGGTCTACTTTCTAGCCTTGTTATTTTCGAAAACGACATATACTATTTCGTAAAACTGATTTAGTTATTTGCCATCTTAAATATTGAAGTTATTTTGTTGAAGAATAAAAGTAGTGATACATTATAATTTGGTTTTTACAGAGCTCAGCTCAGATCAATTTAGACATATGTCTAATTAATTTGGATGACCCTAAAATTCTTATTCTGAAAGTCTCAATGACTTTTCTCGATCTTTTCTCAAACCATGTTTACTTTCGGTTAAATATGTACAGTGCATTATGTACACGAGAAGGCTGGAAAATAGCTGCCTTCATTCAATTTTTGATCAAAAGTCATTTCTCAAGAAAAGACTTTTTAAAATTTTATATTATTTTATTTGTTGTTTGCTAGTCAAGTTGATAACTACGTCAGCGATTAGAATAAATACATTTATAGGCTTACATGCGTAAAAACCTGGCAGCTTGTCAAGAAGATGTGTTCGCACTGCTTGTTCCCAGTTGTTGACAAGTCTGGCACAAGTTGTTATCATCTTGTAACAAGGTTGATGAGGCCAACAGACTCGCAACAAGTTGATGACAACAAGCTCGTAGCAACCTGTTACGAACAGCCTGTATTAGTCTTGTTGGAACAACTTGTAGCTTGCAAGTGTGTTACCGTTATCAACTTTGTAAGAAGGTGATAACAACTTGTTCCAACTTTTCCCCACACAACAACTGGGAAAAAGCATTGGAAACACATCCTGATATCGACTTGACAACAATCTTGGAAGTCATGGAACTGGTTGTATAAAAAAGTAGTTAAAGTCAACTACCATGATTAATGCAAAGTTTTATACAACAGAGTCCTGAACGATATATATTGACAAACACGTGGCTGAAAAGCTTCACATATATACAAAGCTTTTACAGTGATACAACTAATTTGTTATATGTTATTAAAACGTTATAAATATAGCTTTTACGCTGTTGATAAATATCTGTGTCTCATTTTGTTATATATATAATAAAACTATGTAACGAAGTCAATGTTATATTTTCTTTATTTGCATATTTAGCGTACGACATGAAATTATAACCGAAATTCACTTTGTTCATTGAATCGCTTGACATCGCTTGCACATATCGTTGTTCATCACCCACGAAGAAAATTCAAACTTTTCATCGTCTTCCAACAAAACTACCCTTCCCTATTTCATCAACAGCATTTCTTGTTCAAATTGTAACAGGCTTTGAATGAGCTGATTTCATGGAAGTTTCACGGTTGAACTTGCGAATTTCATTGCGAACTTTGAATTTTCAAATCGGCCACAATGTTTTTGAGATTTGTCATCCAGTATCGAATTGTCTTTCAGTATCGTTCGAAGTCCTAGCCGCCATCTTTGGACAACCAATTTTTTGGCCAGATTTTGTTTGTTCCACATTTCTTTAGTCGGCGACAATCCAATACATGGAACCGCAATGCCAACACGAAGGTAGTATATTGGCTTCTCTTGGGAGCTCAGGGACTCTTAGTTCCAATACTACGACAGCTTATTGTAAATGCTACCAACACATTGTCTATTATATGGAAAGTTGCCAACTATCACGTCGTATGCCTAGACGCCAGCTAAGGCCCAGTGAAAATCCGAGCTGTTTTAAATATACTAAAACCTCTGACACACAACGATTCGTACCTGCATGAGTAGTTTTGACGACCAGTGAGAGATCTTACATGCCACTGGTCATTTCTTGAGAGCGAGTCATCTCATTACTTTGACCAGTTGTTTTTATTAACTCTTCGAGATCCATGATTAGTTTGTTCACAATCAGAATAAGGAATAACTAAAACGAAAAAAGTTATCCAGTATAAATAAAGTTAGTTTAGAATTGATAGAAAAACAGTTTAGAACTGATAGAGCTATCCAGTATACTGTAAATAAAGTTAGTTTAGTTTAGGTTTCCTCCTGTAGTAACACTGGATCAATAAGAGATGATCCTTACTGGACTTCTAGGAAGAACAGTTTAGAACTGATAGAGCTATCCAGTATAAATAAAGTTAGTTTAGTTTAGGTTTCCTCCTGTAGTAACACTGGATCAATAAGAGATGATCCTTACTGGACCTCTAGGAAGAACAGTATAGAACTGATACAGCTATCCAGTATAAATAAAGTTAGTTTAGTTTAGGTTTCCTCCTGTAGTAACACTGGATCAATAAGAGATGATTCTTACTGGACCTCTAGGAAGAACAGTTTAGAACTGATAGAGCTATCCAGTATAAATAAAGTTAGTTTAGTTTAGGTTTCCTCCTGTAGTAACACTGGATCAATAAGAGATGATCCTTACTGGACCTCTAGGAAGAACAGTTTAGAACTGATAGAGCTATCCAGTATAAATAAAGTTAGTTTAGTTTAGGTTTCCTCATGTAGTAACACTGGATCAATAAGAGATGATTCTTACTGGACCTCTAGGAAGAACAGTTTAGAACTGATAGAGCTATCCATTATAAATAAAGTTAGTTTAGTTTAGATTTCCTCCTGTAGTAACACTGGGTCAATAAGAGATGATCCTTACTGGACCTCTAGGAAGAACAGTATAGAACTGATACAGCTATCCAGTATAAATAAAGTTAGTTTAGTTTAGGTTTCCTCCTGTAGTAACACTGGATCAATAAGAGATGATTCTTACTGGACCTCTAGGAAGAACAGTTTAGAACTGATAGAGCTATCCAGTATAAATAAAGTTAGTTTAGTTTAGGTTTCCTTCTGTAGTAACACTGGATCAATAAGAGATGATCCTTACTGGACTTCTAGGAAGAACAGTTTAGAACTGATAGAGCTATCCAGTATAAATAAAGTTTAGTTTGGGTTTCCTCCTGTGGTAACACTGGATCAATAAGAGATGACTCCTACTGGACTTCTAGGGAAAACAGTTTAGAACTGATAGAGCTATCCAGTATAAATAAAGTTAGTTTAGTTTGTAGGTACAAATATATAAGAAGTAATAATCGAGCTGTGTTTTTATCTTCTAGCTGTTTCAAACT